GTTGGATGAATTAATGGTTGCATAAATGGATGAATGGTTGGATGAATGAATAGTTGCATAAATGGATGAATTAATGGTTGCATAAATGGATGAATGGTTGGATGAATTAATGGTTGCATAAATGGATGAATGGTTGGATGAATTAATGGTTGCATAAATGGATGGATGGTTGGATGGATGGATGAATGAATGAATGAATGAATTCATAGACAGATGGATGAATTAATGGATGCATAAATGGATGAATGGTTGGATGAATTAATGGATGCATAAATGGATGGATGGTTGGATGGATGAATGAATGAATTCATAGACAGATGGATGAATTAATGGATGCATAAATGGATGAATGGTTGGCTGAATTAATGGATGCATAAATGGATGGATGGTTGGATGGATGAATGAATTCATAGACAGATGGATGAATTAATGGATGCATAAATGGATGAATGGTTGGATGAATTAATGGATGCATAAATGGATGGATGGATGAATGAATGGATGAATGAATTCAAAGACAGATGGATGAATTAATGGATGCATAAATGGATGAATGGTTGGATGAATTAATGGTTGCATAAATGGATGGATGGTTGGATGAATGAATGGATGCATAAATGGATGAATGGTTGGATGAATTAATGGATGCATAAATGGATGGATGGTTGGATGGATGGATGAATGAATGAATGAATTCATAGACAGATGGATGAATTAATGGATGCATAAATGGATGAATGGTTGGATGAATTAATGGATGCATAAATGAATGGATGGTAGGATGGATGGATGAATGGTTGGATGGATGAATTAATGGTTGGATGTATGGATTGTTGGATAGATGTATGGATTGTTGGATGGATGGATGAATTAATGTATACATAAATAGATGAATGGATTTATAGATGGATGGATGTTCGATGGCTTAATGCTAACAGCCTCAATGGAAACACCGTTTCCTGTGAGGATTTTTCTGCGCAGCTGAATGAAACTAACTGAAGGATATATCGCTCGTAGATGGTGCGGGCTTTGTCCACCTCCTTGTAGCGCAGCTCGAAGTTGATGTAGGAGTGCCAGGCCTGCTCGTCGGGCTCCCACTCCATCCAGCGCTCGAAGGCCTGCCTGCAGCCCGCCACGTTCCCCAGCATCTCCTCCATGTAGGTGTACTTGTACCTGGAGGGGGACCCAACACCCAAACACTGAGAGGCTGGGCTTCTGTGGCCGATTCACACCTTCAACCTGGACTCTTTTTATAGCCCATCAAAACTACTTTTATAGGAAAATAACTACATTTTGAATTCAATTTAAGCAGTTATCTCATAGTGCTTTTCAAAAAGAGCTGGTCCAGACCAGACTAGACAATATTTTAAGTTTAGTGATCAAACATGGTAGATAAAAGTTAAAAATTCTAAAAAAGGGGCAAATTTGGCACAAATTCTGCTGTTGAATCTAAATTTTTTCAAAAAAGGGCTTTTTTAAACATTTGGAAATGTAAATATTTGAAGTTTAGTGCTGAAACATCGTGGATAAAAGTGAAAAATTCCCCAAAATTGGCACAAATTCTCGTGTTAAATCAAAATATCCTGTTTTTTTTTCCCAAAAAAGGGCTTTTTTAAACATTTGGAAATGTAAATATTTGAAGTTTAGTGCTGAAACATTGTGGATAAAAGTGCCGATCCAGACTCCAGATCCAGTTTTTTTTTTAAAGTCCAATCCCACGTTAGCATTAGCATTAGCATCTGTAACCCACAGGTCTGTGTCCTAACCATTAAGTTGTTATCAGAGTATTAGCATTAGCATTAGCATCTGTAACCCACAGGTCTGTGTCCTAACCATTAAGTTGTTATCAGAGTAAATCCCTGTTCAACATGAGTCTGACAGCTAAGTAAGTAGATAAATAAACTTTAACACATGCTCTGATAGGCCGGGATCGGATCGGAAGTGAAAAAATCTGGAGTCCAGACTCTGGACTCCACCAGACTGGAGTTATCTACAGAGGCCCAACATTTCCCACCAAGAGCAAGCACTGGGCGACACAGGTGAGGAAAAACTTCCTAAACATCTGGAAGGTGAATCGGGACTCGTACCAGAACTGGTT